GGCCCCGCCGCCGGTGCTGACCCGGGGGGGCGAGCTGCCCGGACACCGCTGGGCGGTTGCCGCCTCCCCGGGTAGAAAGCCGTCCCGCCGGGCTGCCGAGGGAAACCCGTGGGGCTGAGCCACAGCCGGCGGACGAGAATTTCGGACCTGGGAAACCCGGAGTGGCCCACGCCCCGTCTTACCCCCTCCCGGCGGAGAGGCGCCGCCGCCGCGGCGGGAGCCAAGCGTGGGCAGAAGGCAGGACTGCGGCAGAGCAACCCACCGACCTGCAACCCCACGCAGGACTGCCTCGCTCCGCCATCCCCCGATCAAATACGCCTCGACCCGCTCCAGCCTGGCACAGTGTTAACTCTGAAACCTAATGGAGGCGATGGAAATAAGCGGCATTGTGTGCTGTTTCCCAGCTGGGAGCTGATGTGTGAGAGCGGAGCCTGGGAAAGGTATTACCTTTCCCCTTATTTAGCCCAGGCTTATCACTGCTTTAGGCAGAGCTTTGTTCATCTCTATCCCTTTAGGGGTAGTACCATCAACAAAAGAAGGAATTCTTCTGTACGGGCTTGTCTTTCAACATCCTTATCTGTGATTCAGGAAAACAGTTGTTCCACTTGCGTGTTAAGCCCCCACTGATCTGACAATGGACAGGTGGGAGAGGTTTGTTACAGCAACAGTGCCGACACTGAGTGCAAGTGTTGCTGCTTGTTTAGTAAATAAAGCGACTGTTCAACAGTGCACACACGTGGGCAAGTAGGGATGTGCGTGGACACGTACAACTGTGTTGGGGAAAAGCCTTTTGACAAAACTTCAGTTATTTTCTTTACCTGAAGGCATTAAGGCATTTATAAGGCTCAGGTAATGCAGAACATTAGTGAGCTGCAGCATGAGGCTGCTGCGGAAGCAGGGATTCAGCCACCGCTGGGGACTGTGGAGCAGTCAGCACCAGGGATGAGGTGCGTCACCCCAGGCACTGGCCCTACAAGACATGGCCACGGATGATCCCGTCGCAAGGCACACCCTTGTCTCTGCAATCCCCTTTCTTGGCTTCCTCCTTTTTCCTGCATTAGTTTGCCATTTCCTTCTGGGATACATGCATCTGGACTACAAACTCATCTCTATCAGAAAGCAGTAGTTCCTCCACCACATAATTACACATCTCCTGGTGGTGAAGAAAGTGACACCAAGAGGTCCTTTCCCTCAGGTGTGGAGAGATTTCTGGAGGGCTGTGACACATCACTGGGTCCTCCTCCCCTCTGCATACACAGCTCCAGCAGTTCCAAAAGCATGTGTGCTTTTTAAGGACATGTAAACTTGCTTCCGGCTTTTGCTGTCCTGTTAGTTTGGATTTAGTATTGGCTTGTTTGTAAGTTTGACTTTCTAAAATCATCGTAAATGCAGCCATGATGTGTATCCATCTGCCTGGCCATCCCGTTGCATCACCATAGAGTTTGGATCTGTTGCCTAATTTTGGCTCAGTCTGAGCTGGAAGTCTCAAGGAAATTAAAACTCCTCATGAAAGACTGGCCTTTGGGGTGGGCACAGCCCTGCACGGACAGTGTGCAGGAACCAGATGTGTGGAGGTGCCAGGTGCATTTTCGTCGTCCTCGTGCGCTACTGAGCCCCAGTGAGCCCGCCCAGGCAGCTCAGCTCAGCCTTCCCTTGCTCTGCTGCTACAAAGACTATTCCTTTACACAGGGCACACCCAAAAAGCCCTGGCTGAGCTCCTATGGCTCAGGAGGGAGAACCAGTGAGTTCAGGCCAAGTCAGGAGCCGGATCCTCAGGTGCAGGATATGCAGGAAGCTCCTGGCAGACACCTGCTGCTCAGTATGGGCACAGCCAAAGAGCCACAGAGGGGCACTAGTACAAAAGGGCATTGCTACAGTAACAGTGGGAATAGACTTTATTTAATAATTTGTACAAGGAACACAGTAGTAATTCAATAATTCCATTTATTAATTGTCAAATAGTAATCCACTGCAATAAGAAACAAAAAATCAACACAAAAATAAGTTGCGCTTTGTGTGTGTGTGTGTGTGTGTGTGTGTGTGTAACTTAAAATGACAAGAGCAAGAATGAAAACCAAACCTTTAAATGAGTATGTTATATACAGTCAGTATCATGTTACTTTGCTGGATAGATTAATTTGGTGTTATCCAATCTTAGCAACAGGCCTAAATATTGCTGCAGATAACTGGAGGGCAAACCCAAAGCAGAAAAACAAACCCATAAATAAGATGCAGAATTAAAGGTATCTCTTTCAGAAAAGAAACAGTGGTGCTTTGTGTCATATTGGAAACTGTTTCATAATGGATATTTTGTGCTAAAACTCTTAACGTGAACATACATGAAATTCCATCATTTAAATAAAAGTGGAAAAAAATCCCAACCTTTCATAACTGCCTTTTTTTCCCCTCCCTTCACTCAATGTGTTTAAATTATTTTTTCTATACAAGGTAAGTACATTGTCTGTACAAAGTTAAATATACATATTTACAGTCAGACTTCTGAGACACTGAGCCTTCTCTTCCGGTGACCGAGGCGGAAGACAAGCCTACTCGATTTCAAACCCAGGAGCATGGCTAGTTTATCAAAACATTGCAAGTCGTGCTAACAGTTAGTTGTAGTTACTCTTAATAAATCTGTATAAAAGCATCAGCATAAAAATAGGCATTTTATATTATTAAATACGGCTTATGACAAAATAGCAATCTAACCCTTTGCTATTTGTATGGTAACTGTAAGAAGCAGAATCTGATAGAACCAGTTTTGTTTATGTTTTTTTCTTAACAAAATGTCTATAAAAAGAATATTCATAGTGGGTTGACAGGCAAGCAGACAGGCAAGCCATGTTATTTTTCTCAGGGAAATAGGAATCTATGTAACTGGTAATAACCATTGGAAACACAGCTTTCCAAATTGATTATAGACTTTTTTGTATGACTAGGAGGCAGCCAAAACGCATGTATTTATTTGAGACCTATCCTCAACACTGTAACGAAAAAGAAAGAAAAAAAAAGGCACCCTCAGTCTTATGTTGCTCAGATTGATCAGAGCCTTCAAGATTTAATGCCAGGAAGGAAGCAAAGTCTTTATCCCAAAGAGTATGCTTCAAAAAGTATGCGATCCTTGAGGGCCAGCAACAGGGCAGGAGGAGTAGAGAAAGTGAATGGCCGTAGGACTCGTAAACAGGATTTGCTCTCACAGATGTTCTGTTTATTGGTTCTATTCTTTGTGCAGATAAATGTCAAAGCCAGGCTGATTTCTCTTTAAAAACATGACTCAGTTTGTATTGATGCACACAATACACTCACACACACACACCCTGCACGAAAGAAAAAAACCCTGCAGAGATAGGTAATATGTTACTAAAGGGTTTGGGATCTTTGCACATTTGCGTTATGTTTCGGCTGATCTCTCTGGATTAAACCACCAGTCCCAAAGTCCTTTTCCACACAGACCTCTGCAGTTTAACCGTATTAGCTGTCCTCTGCCTGTGCTGGGTCTTAAGGTGCATGACATGAAGGAAGGGTTTTCTGTGGAAGTGGAAGGCAGAGCAAGGTGAGTCTTCAGTGAGGCAGAGACCAGGCAGAAAGCCTGGCCTCCCTGGCCCTTGCCAGTGTAAGGGAACAGCTGCAAGGCTGTGGACTGCCCCAAAGCACTATCAAATCTCAACACACAAACAAAACCTATACTGTGTGCTTCCCTGAAGCCTTCTCAGAGGTAAGTACTCCATACAAATTAAGATTATCACCAGAACTCTTGCTGGGGAGGGGAGAGGAATACACAAAGGCAGCACTGTAAACTAGAAACTGTCTCTTCTTCAGCAAACAAATCACACCCTGAATCCATGGAAGCAGGGCTACACATTCAACTCAATACTGTACCACATAACCACATCCTCCTAACACGTCTAATCTCTTGTCTATTACATTCATAAATCGTCCGTTTCTTCGCTGTTTAAAAACACCATCTGGAAAACAACCCCATCACCGTCGTAGTGGGTTCACTGTTATTTTACAGGTACAGAAGCTTCACGTAGTTGCCTGGGAAGGTGCCGAACTGCCGTGTTCTTCTGGATGTACCTGTTGCAAAATAGGACACAAGGAAGCCAGTGTAAGGTGGAGCCATGAAAGGAAGGCTTAGGGGTTTAAAAAAGGTAGAACTGACAGCCTTTTCTGCCTGCAGGCATTGCTTTCTAAAATTAAATAGGAGTCCTGGTCAAAGAGCCTCTTGGAATAGATGAGCACTAGTTCTGCTACTAATCATCTTAGGTCTTCCCTTTCAACAATTAATAAGGTGCAGTGAAAGCTCCTGGGCATATAGGCTAGAAGCCAAACTCCTACCCGTGTAAATGAGCTAATCTCCCTTAAGAAGAGATAACAAGCCTAGATTTGCAGTGCTGAGATGGGGAACACTGTCCAGACTTGCATTCTTTGAAGGTAATGGGCTGGATTTTGCTAAATATACAGCTACAGATGAGGCTGGATTCTCAGGGACTGCAAGCCTCATCGATGCGTTCCCTTCAACCCCTACTCGCTATGTTCTATAGCTTGTCATGGCTTCCTCAGCTTTGGAAAAGCTACAGAAACCCAGTTTTCTTTGGTTCCTTCTGTCACTCTGCCATCTGTGTGAGCAAGAAGGACACCAGGAAAAAGAGGGGAATGGGAAAATGAAGAAGAGAAAAAAGGAAATCCACCCTGCACTTGAATTTTAATGTTCTTGGTGGGAAAAGATGAGAAATAGTGAAAAAAGTTGAGTTGATTTTTTTTTTCACTGTTTTGAGTCTGTAAATGAAAGCAGCTTCCAGCAGCTCTGCAAAATTGCTCATCTGCATCTCAAAAAGCTCTCCAGACAGGCAACAGCCACACTCACCCACAAACCAGCCGTCATCACATTTCTCCATGACATCGACAATGTCACCGTCCCTCAGTTCCAGCTCATCATCGTTCTGAGGAGTGTAGCTGTAGAGGGCTTGGTAGCTAACTCTAAAACCAGAAAGACAGGGCATGTTAGCCATTGGATTTCCCTGCCAACCTTCAGAAGGAGATGTCTCCCTTCCCCTTTCTAATTCCTATTATATTTTGCTCAATGCAGCCTGGACCTGTGTTTTCTATTTGAGAAATGGAAGCCAACTGCATTGAATTGGCTGTTGTCACAACTGCACTGTATGAGATATACAGAGACCTTCTGTTTCCTTTTTGTCATGTCGTTATCTCCATAGACTGCAACAACTAGAGTCTTCCTAACATGTAGCACCTAGAGAGGGTATGAGCACAGATGCCCTATTGAATGCAAGCCAAACCCTGGCTACACTCATTTCTGGGCTCAATGAGACATCTATTCTCTTGCCCAGGCACACAGGCAGGGCCATGAATGACCAAATGGAAGAGTGAAGTACTGCCTACTCTACTGCACTAAAGTTGCTGGATAAACCATGGTTGAGGAGGTACGGTGCAAACAAAATCTAAGGTTGAATCCTGCTCTGAGACACCACTTGCACTAGAGGCACTCTCTATTTATCAGAAAGGAACCTTAAGTAGTGGAAACAATCTGGACAAATTTGGAGAGGCTTGGATCCCCTGCCTGTGGGGAGAGAAAATAGAGCTGATGTGAGATTTTCGTTCTGCATAAAGAAGGGATGGGGGAAAGCAAAGGCTCCTTTCAGGAGACAACTGCCAAGGAACTGCAGTCCCCAGCACTCAGTGCGGGCTACTGTTCTCAAAACCATCAGTGAAAGGCTGCACCAAGCTTAATGGCAGCTCCAGGTTTAAACCCACCAGGCAGCTTTGGAAATCTCTGCCTTGGTCTCCCAGATGATTCAGCCACCATTCACCAGCAGAACTGGCCATCAACGCACCAAGTGGTATCAGTGTTGGGACTGCTCGCTGTACTGGGAGGAGCTAAGGACAGGGGTGAACACGCTGCCCCAGGCTGCATGAGCCAGGTGTAGCCAGTGGATATTGCCTCCAGCTTCAAGATACAAAGACATTAAGACAGTCTCTGTA